CCTGAATCTCTGTCTGTCTGTCTCTGTGTGCGTCTCTGTGTCTCTCCGTGTGTTTCTGTGTCTCTCTGTGTCTCTCTGTGTCTCTCTGTGTCGCTCTGTGCCTCTCTGTGTGTCTCTCTGTGTGTCGCTCTGTGCCTCTCTGTGTGTCTCTCTGTGTGTCGCTCTGTGCCTCTCTGTGTGTCTCTCTGTGTGTCTCTCTGTGCCTCTCTGTGTGTCTCTCTGTGTGTCTCTCGGTGTCTCTCTGTGTCGCTCTGTGCCTCTTTGTGTGTCTCTCTGTGTGTCGCTCTGTGCCTCTCGGTGTGCCTCTCTGTGTGTCTCTCTGTGTGTCTCTCTGTGTCTCTCTGTGTCTCTCTGTGTCGCTCTGTGTCTCTCTGTGTGTCTCTCTGTGTCTCCTGGTGTCCCTCTGTGTGCCTCTGTGTGCCTCTGTGTGGTCATTCCTCTGCACAGTCACTGGTCCCTGAGCTTATCCCTCATGTACAGTGTGTGAGTGTGAGCGTGCTCAGAGGAGGCAGTGACAGCCTGTAACTGATGGAGCTCATTACCCCAGAATCATGGACGACCTGCGGATGCCGTCGGGAGGTCAGGTCCCCATTATGTTGTCATATAAACCACTGCTTCCCAACTTTGGAAAACCCCCATTAGTACAGTCAGGGCCGTGGTGTTTGTTTTACACCACACACACACACATCTCGACTCCGCGTTAAAGGTTATAGAAGTTGAGGATTAATTGTGTTTTTCTGGGTTATTTTACAAGAAATTACAACACAGAAGATCTTAATCACAGCACATGAGTCACTTTTGGAGACCACCCTTCACCCGCTTGGATTAAGAAGCACTAACAAAGTCAAGCCGATAAGAGGAATTACACATAATCTGAACTAAAGAAGCTATCAATTATTGGTTTATCTCATAATAATAGAACTAATATTGTACTGACTGACACTTTCCCTGTGGGTTAGTGCTGTAAGGTAAAGGTTACAGTGAGAGAGACCTGCAGAACTTGAAGGGATGGTAAAGGTGCACTCTGCATTTGACCCATCCTTTTGCCACTAAGGCGTCTGTCAGGGGCAATGGGCGCCATAGCAACAGCACCCGAAAACCCATCTCTAGACGTTGATGCTCGGCTTGGTCTGGACTATTGGAGCTGGACGACTTTACCCTTTGTGCATGTTTTTAGTGATAAGGGAAACCAGAGCACCCGGAGGAAACGGGGAGAACATGCAAACTCCAAACTCCACAAGACCCTGTTCTGACCGGGATTCGAACCCAAGCCTAGGAAGAGCCAACCGTTGAACTTTTGTAAATATAGATAATTGAATTGAACTGAATACAGTTAGGGCTCAGGCTCAGGCAGGTCTGGGTTACGGTACACTACGTAATTAGTTTTTAATTAGTGAAGGCTAACATAATTGAAACGAAAGAAGCTATCAGTGTTCATGGCAGATTACTGTAACATCTAAAAGGGTCAAACTGGGTTATTCCGTCATGTTTGAAGAGAAGTGCTGGACCGAAGACTCTGAGATTTGGATGAGAACAAAATGATTGGTCAGAACAGGTTTTCACACCAAGAAGAGATTAGAAAACCATCTGCTCGGCAACGGGACTTCTGAATAGACTCGTGGTCTGGTCTGGTCTGGTTATGAAAACGTTTATTTTGAGAAATATAAGTGTCATTGTGTAATCTAAAACAGGGGTATTTAACTCGGTCGTCAAAGGGCTAGTGTGGCTGCTGGTTTTCCTTCTAACCAAGTAGGATCAGAGCAGACTCCACCCATTTCCTCAACTGAGTCCAGTGTGAACCTAGCCTGGTCTTACCACACCATTGTACTCATTTCATTGCGTACAAAGGTCTGGATATGCTCCATTGAGCTTCGTTAACAGGTGGGAGGGGTTAGTGAGTAAGGCCTTTAGCATTTAGCATTGAGCCTAGCTTTAGCCATCTCCTTTGGCACTAACGGAGCCCGTGGGGAGTAGAGCCACAACATCTTTGCAGCAATGACATTTGCTACACATTCCTCTTGCTCCGACTTCAATTTCTTGACATACTGTATGGAGCCGAACCAGAACGGATTGAACAGATTACTTTACATTCTCCGCCATTGCTAAACTACAACTAGCAAATTCAGCGCAATTTCTGGACGTCCCTACGCCTACGACACCTGCCTCTCCCGCTCGCTGATTGGTCAGAGGTGATTCAACCAAGGAAACAGCAGCCGCTAGGATCAGACCATAGACTGTAAATATTAATGGACGTCTACCCGCCGTTCTAACTAATGTGCCACAACTTCCGCGGTCCATGGGCAGTTTCAAAATGGCCACGGGGGCGGGAAACCGTGAAAAAACGCATCTGCGCCTGCCTCAGCCGTTACGAGCCCCTTTCATTTAAACAAGTGACTTCAGAAATTCACAGCGACTAAACTAGAGTGGTCCAAAAAAAATACACTCCCCTCAGCATTGACACACATGTGGAACGGAGCTTTGGGCCAAGAGCCAACTTTTGGTCCATCCTGTAAAGGTGTTTTCGAGAGGTAAGAAGATGCTATATGTTAGCATTGGCTAATTCTTATTCTGGGTCCACCCCCATCGGCCCGGGATGGTATTGCAAGCATGTCAGCGCACGTCATTTTGGCCACTTTTTAGCCGGGACCCGCCCCCACTGGATCAGACCCAGACGTACATGGAAATAATTGACTGGAGTTTACATATGGATAAGACCAGGCTAAACAAAAAAAATAAAAAATAACAATTGTAAACCGCTTTGTGACTCTGGTCTGTGAAAGGCGGTATATAAATAAAGCTTACTTACTAAATTCATTTCAATTAAGTTTATTTTTATACAGCCCTAACTCACAATTATCTCGGAGGACTTTACAAAGTTGTCAATTTGGCGACACAAATCAGAGAATAAAACAGTTCAAACACCAGAAATGCAACAGTAAAACAACACATAGAGCCATTGGCAGTCTGGTGAGCTCCTGTTTGGTTAGAATGAAAACCTGTTGCAACACGGCCCCTTTAAGACCGTGTTACACCACTGAAGAAGGAAGCAAGCATATTTGTTATAAGAAGCTATTATAGGATTGTGTATATTCTAGTCCAATAATATATAGTTGTGTGTTTACATCTGGGAATAGATCTGAGACAAAGTGACTCAGTGAGGAGACAGCGGACACATGTGGTTCTATACTGTTCTATACTTTTATTATGCCTAAATAAACTATCATATGTTCAATAATCTATAATTAGAAGAGTGAAGCTGGGTGTAACGTGACCCAGTGAGGGGCCAGCCAAACACCACGCAGGGATCACGCTCCACCGCGGTTTGAATAATGTTTTTCTGAACCCGTTTTAATTTTGCATAACACACATGAACTTGGGAAACTGGAATGCACTGGCTTTTCCCATTCAGCGGCCAAGACAAACGAGATCTGATGTACCACCAAAGAACCCAGAGTTTAACGGACGCTCGCTCTATTTTTGCTTTTCCATGGCTGGTTTCTGGAATAGTATTTGCATTCGTCCCAAAAGGGAAGAAAAACAATGTGTCAGGGTTAAAAGTTTGACAACAACAGCCTCGGTATTATGAATGGGTAGAATTTGAAGTTGCAATGAGAGCTTGTAGTCTGTAGGGGGCAGTGTGGTCCAGTCTGAGCGAATCCCAGTCATTTGCAGGAGATGACAAGAACAAAAAAAGTTCAAGTATTATTCCGTGATTACATTTTGAGATTGTCCTTTCACATGCTAGAGCCCAGATAATTAACTCAAACTGCTTTTTAAAAAGGTATAAATATATGTCTTTGTTTGCAACACATTCAGATGGAAAATAAGTATGTTGTTTATATACTAATATTTATATTTTATATTTATTTTATATTATTTATCATTTAAATAATTTAGACATAGTAAAACGTGTACTCATAGTAACTGTATAAAAATGTAATCTCCATAGACTGTATGTATATATGGTAACAATCTCCCTCTAGTGTGATGCTGTATGCAGAGCAAGTCAAAATGATGAAATGATTTAAAACTTTGCATTTAAAGAAAGGGGACCTGACATTCATAACAAAATGTATGTAGAAATTCATCTTAAGCCTCAAAGCAGCTGTTTCTTAGCCTCTGTCACATGTTTAGATCAGCTTTTTCAGATGGAAGAGTGAAAAAGAGCGGTCCACCCTCACTCAGCCAATCAGCTCTTAGCTCAAAGCATCCAATTGTGACTCACAGGCACTTTTACAAGCAAATAATAAAATATTTTCTACAAAGATGAGGACAGCATGTTGTAAAAAAAACCCAAACAAAACCTGCTTTTTTTGTGACACTCCACATTGTTCATTCACTCTATACACGGTGGTGGTTAACTACTGCTGTAGCCACAGCTGCCCTGGGGCACACTAACGGAATCGAGGCAACCAGTATGTGCCATTGCCCCTTTTACACACACACACACACATACACTCAATGTGGGAGAAGTGTCTTGCTAAAGGACATATGTTGGCACCTGCTGTTCCCACAGGTCTCCCATCACAGTATTTGCCAGGCCCTTCCCTGCTTAGCTTCAGAGGTCTAACACATGCAGGTGGCGTACAAGAGGTGGGCTGTCAAAGACTTTCACAACATTTTACTTTTACACAACAAGATAAAAAGTGTCATCCTTGAGAATTTTTTGTTTTTGTTTTTACAATTTGTATCAAAAAGTGAACTCAGAGTAACAGGACTCGAAAAAACGTCCCAAAAAACTCTGCAGAACGAGGAGCGAGAGAGGCAGCTTAAGCTCCATCAGAAGTCTGCTTTTATTGAAACAGTTATTGGCGTGCCAAGATCACGCAGAAAAACAACAACCTTCCTCCCTGGGAGCCAATAAAAAGCGGAGAACAAACAGTGGGCCGCCTGCAGCGCCGTGAGCAGCCGCAGAGCTTTGGCCTTAATGATACTGGTAACTATCACAGACTATTAAAGCCGGGGGAGAACAGAGGAGGCGAGGGGTGAGAAGCAAACACTCATTGGTTCTCAAGTTGTTTCCAGACCCCAACCCCTGTTACGAGCGCAGATATAGGAGCTGAATCACGGCCACACCGCCTCAAAGAGAAGGACGTGTCGGCTGCGTCAGAGGAAGACGGCGGCTCGGATAAGAAGCAGCGTGTTTGTGGCGTGACACACATGAAAGAGTGACGTCAGCGAGCTACAAGTGCTACGTGCTGCTGTCTTGCCTTTGCTTTAAAACGGTTTTAGTTTGATTGATTTCACAGCGTCAATTGTTTCCTGTTATGTTTTTTTTATGTCTGTCTTTTTAGCCTTGTTTTATTTATGTACTTTTCTTGTGCACATTGGGAACTTTTGCGAACGTATTCCAATGTGGTTTTACTGCAAATGGCAAATGTCCTGGATCATCACCACTGTCCTTAGACCCTTCTACATCTACAAGGAACAGCTCTAAAAACTCAGTGGGAGAAACTGAGAAACCTCTTGGTGAACAGGTCATGTAGTGGTACTGTTACTGCCATAAAATATATTTGCATTTGCCAACACCACAGATCATTTGGAAAATAAGTAATTAAGTGCTTTATCTGGCTTTGGTCGTTCAAATGCGCTATAAGAATAAATACTTTAATAGGAATGAATGCTTGCTACCATATAAGCCATCTACGCACACACATTTGAATGGATATATACAATATTTGTCTGCACTGTCCTGCCTACACTCACATAGACCATTACAGCCACAGCCTCCCCACTTAGTGTTCCCAGAGGTCTCCCATCACAGTACAAACCCGACCCTGCTCTGCTTAGCTTCAAAGGTCTGACGGGATCTGGCTTTCACATGCAGGTATGGCCACATAAGGTTTGAGTCACACAAAAAAAAAACCTGACCCAAACACTCTCTGACCCTACACCTCTCATGTTTACAAGACCTACAGGGATCTATCCATCTATCTATCTATTGCTCTCTCTGTATCTCTTTTACTCTGTCTCTCTCGTTTCTTTCTCTTTTTCTCTGTCTCGCTCTCTCTAAGGCTCTCTCTCTCACCCCCGCTTGGTCTAAAAAAAGTCTTTATCGTCCAACGACAACCACACACCTTTTAGTTTTCCTGCTCAAACCCGTGCACGTCGCCAGGATCAGTATCTGACTTTGCGGACTGAAGGTGAACCCAGAGATCCCTCCACTTCAAACATCCATCCCCCTTTTCTCTTCAGAACGACTCAGACGGCCGCAGCGTTACAACTAATTATCGACTAATTCATCACTTCTTAACAAGCTTCTTTGTCAGCCTCGTTACCTCACGCTCGGCTTTAGTGCCCTTAAAAGTGTCAATTCCCCCGAAGCAGCCAGAGAAAGTGGTGAGAAAACGCAGAGCCACCACCGGCCGACACCTCCTCGCCTCCACAAAGCCCTCGTCATCCTTCATCCTCTGCACCTCTGAATTGCCTCCATTTTCTTGGGGGCCATAAATGGGCTCTTATTGTCCCGTAAATGGCAGCTTTTGGAGTGGGATTTTTTTTAAGTGAAGGGGTGTATATATAGAGCCCACCTTTTGATGTCCCATATGTCTTTTGGGCTCACACAGAGGCACATTAAAAGATATTACAAGATTGTTTTTTTCATGATTTCTTTCACCGTGGTGGGGCGTAACGAGCCAGCGGCGGGCGACGCTAAGCCGTGCCACTTCCGGAACTCTAATGAAAGCCACACGCTGTCAGGGATCTGTGTGCGTTTGGCTCGGATTCAACGGCTTGACCTTTTATAGAGATTTATTTGCAAAGCTGCGTGTGCGCGGCTGGAGGTGGCAGCTTTTTGTTATGGTTTTGTTATGGTTAATATATTAAGTCAAATCTTTTTGTGTTTGTATAGCCCTAAATCACAACAGTAGTTATCGCAATGTTACAAAACCATGGATTAGCCAAACACAGATCAGGGGAAGAATAGGGAACAGGTTGGCAAGAAAAGTTTTCTTGTATAGCACAGTTCATACAAGTGCTTAACAAAATAAGATAGAAAAAAAAAAAAAAACATAAATAATCACAGCTTGTCAAAAAGAGAGAAGATACAATCCTTTCAGTTGTTTGCAGCTAAACTGTTTTTGACCTGGATTTTAACATTGTCAGAGAATAAGCCTGTCTCACATTTTCAGGAATACTGTTCCATATTTTGGCTGCGCGAATCTGAAACGGTGCCTCTCTATGTTTAGTGCTGTCTCAGAATCCCAGCAGGAGGCCAGTCCCTGTGCTCCTCAGAGTCCCAGCAGGAGGCCAGTCCCTGTGCTCCTCAGAGTCCCAGCAGGAGGCCAGTCCCTGTGCTCCTCAGAGTCCTCCTTGGTTCATATGGCTCTAACATGTCACAGATGTACTTTGGTGCGAGGCCATGGAGAGACTTGTAACAAGCAGAGCTGATTTAAAGTCTATTCTCTGAGCCACAGGAGCCAGTGCAGAGACCTGAGAACTGGACTAATGTGATGGTACTTCCTGGTTCTAGTCAGGACTCGAGCTACACCATTTTGAACATACTGCAGCTGTGAGTTTGAGTCTGGGATTGCGTCTCTGCAGAAGAAATGTTTCATGGTGGTGACAGCAGCAGTGACGCAGCCTGAGCTTTCACAGCTTTCACATAGTTTTCCGCTCAGACCACAGCAGTTCCCCTCAGCATCTTCCCCATCGCCAACAGATATGTTTTCTTTGACCTTCATACAACCACAACATCAAGTCTGCTGCTGTCAGACTGTACAATGAGACCTGCTCAGCTCATCCGTAAATAGAAAATATTGCAATCACGTTCAATTGTCACGATTTAACAGAAGCTGGACTCAGATCAGTGTGTAGGTGAGTGGTTTGGAGGCAGCGGGACACTCAGAGTGGACAGAGACAAGTGGACGGAGGTAAGAGGGCCGAGGCAGGTGGACCAAGGCAGGTGGACCAAGAGCAGGAGGTGTGAGGCAGGTGGACCAAGGCAGGTGGACCAAGGCAGGTGGACCAAGGGCAGGAGGTCTGAGGCAGGTGGACCAAGGCAGGTGGACCAAGGGCAGGAGGTCTGAGGCAGGTGGACGGAGGGCAGGAGGGGTGAGGCAGGTGGACCAAGGCAGGTGGACCAAGGGCAGGAGGTCTGAGGCAGCTGGATCAAGGCAGGTGGACGGAGGGTAGGAGGGGTGAGGCAGGTGGACAAAGGGCAGGAGGGGTGAGGCAGGTGGACGGAGGGTAGGAGGGGTGAGGCAGGTGGACGGAGGGTAGGAGGGGTGAGGCAGGTGGACGGAGGGCAGGAGGGGTGAGGCAGGTGGACAAAGGGTAGGAGGGGTGAGGCAGGTGGACGGAGGGCAGGAGGGGTGAGGCAGGTGGACAAAGGGCAGGAGGGGTGAGGCAGGTGGACCAAGGGCAGGAGGGGTGAGGCAGGTGGACAAAGGGCAGGAGGGGTGAGGCAGGTGGACCAAGGGCAGGAGGGGTGAGGCAGGTGGACAAAGGGCAGGAGGGGTGAGGCAGGTGGACCAAGGCAGACAGGACTCGAACACAGGAGGTGAGGTAAGTAATCACAAATATCTCAACAGGTGAGATCTGGAGCAAAAACACTAACTTCTAGCAACAACGATCTAGCATCAATCTTGTACTGCTGGTGGCAAGTGGAACCAGGTGTGTAGCCACGCCCAGGTATAGGAGACAAGACACACTTACACACACACACACACACACACACACACACACACACACACACACACACACACACACACACACACACACACACACACACACACACACACACACACACACACACACAAACACACACACACACACACACACACACACACACACACACACACACACACACACACACACACACACACACACACACACACGCACACACACACACATACACACACACATACACACACACACACAGAAAGGGAGGGGGGACTCTATCTATTTATTATTAAGTTAAAGGTACTCTGGGTAATTTTTACAGTTGCTCCAAATGAAACACAAAGATTATTTACCTCCAATATGTTTTTACATTTTAAAAACATATTGGCTTAAATTTGAATTATAAATGTACATGAGAGCTGGAGGACTCTATACGTCAATGCGGCATCTTGAATTACAGTGGTTGGTGAGGGACAAAAAGGAGTTTGAGCGGGAGTTGGGGACCACTGTCAAATATTGTCCTGTGAAGCCACCGTATTACTGAAAATTACAATATATGTTCTGAATGCTAGATGGGAGTAAAAACTACACAGTGTACCTTTAAGAAGCTACTTGTATCGTATATTGCGTGTGCTTTTACTTCTGTCCTGTCTGTGTCCGGCAATATTGAAATTACCCCACTGTGGGAAAAATAAAGGTCCTCTTATCTAATCTTTTCTTAAAACCTCTGCTTTCCTGGAGGTTTATTGCTCAGTTTTGATACGATTGCTTAAGAAGTCTCATAGAAGATCCATAGAACAAATTCCCTGGCTGCTCTTTTGTCTTATTCTCTTCACTCGGGGCAGATGATCCGTGCGATAGCGGCCTGGCCAGCTGTGTGCCCGTTACCATGCCGATGACAGCGCTCTGCCCAGGTGCTGTGGGAGCCGGGGGTGGGGTGACGGGGTGCGTGTGTGTGTGTGTGTCTGTGTCAGAGCCTCTGTGGGGGTGTGCTTAGGACACAGGTGTGGTGGGCCGCCAGGGAGCGTGGGAGAACCAGGCCAGAGGAAAGAGCGGCGGGAGGGACTCGTCTGATCTTTGACCTCGGGCATCGTCCAAATACTTCCTCAGATTTGAGCTCGAGCCCGTGTCACTCACCTCTGCGTCTTTAAAGGGCAATTGAGTCAAGACATGAAGTCACTGGCTCCAGAATGATCCTAATAGATGGAGACTAATTACCAGTTTCAGTCATTTTTCATTCACTTTTAGTCGCTGTCAATCAAGCCTTATGTTGTGTCCACAGCTGCTCTGGGTGTGACTGACAGAGAGGATGGATATTAAACATTTATTATTAACATATATTAACATTTATTAACATTTACTAACATCACAGTGGTCATCCTCTCCCTATAGACCAATGGCTCAATGTGTTATTCATTATTGCATTTTCTGTGCAAAACCGTTTTTATTTAGGGCAAGGGTGTCCAAACTTTTCTAGTAAGAGGGCCACTTTAGTTAATCAGACTTGACCTGGGGCCGACAACCTGGATTTGAAAAACTGGATTGTCTGGATTCTGGAATTTAAAACTGGTTATGATACGTATTTATTTATATCTATTATAACAATAGAGTCAATGACTGGATTCCAGAAGGTCTGAGATTTACAACAAGGTATAGCCTGTATTGGTGGAGCTGAAGTTGGTTGGATGACACTGTCAAAGGGCCTCAATGGCGACTTTAGCAGCAAAAGGGCCACATAAAAGGGCAAAGAGAGTCGCAACTGAGTTTGGACATCCCTGATTTAGGGCGATACAAAAATAAATGGAATAGAAATGAATGTAAAGGAAGCTTCCAAATGGACCCAAAATGAGCTAAAAACACCAGAGGGGGCGCTACCATTGGGAAAGAGCAACAACTCAGGGCCCCCAAAAGAGACTCAGAAGACTGAAGGGCCCCAAACGGTCACCCTGCGTGTCCGTCACACTGTAAACCCTAACAAGTAAAGTTTACTTAAAAAAACCTTGGAAATAAATTGCATATTAACTTCACTTGAATTACTCGAGTACATACTTTACTTGATATTACCAAGTAACTCAAGCGATTGCAATAAAGTTTAAATTTTGCTCCGACCAGGAGTCAAACTCACAATCTTGAAGTTGAGAGGTGAAGGTGCTACCCACTCAGCCACCGTGCTGCCTTACCCCATTTCGCACCTGTCTCATTTAAGACTCTACACGTCAAAATGTCAAAAGTGAGGCTTATTTGAACAGAGAGAGTTCAATTCAAAGAATATCCTGAGTGATATCGCCAAGCTTTAAATAAACTAACAATAAATGAGTAATATTCACTTACTGGGAAAAATCTATTTAAAATAACTTTGATATCTGAAGTACGATTGAAGTTAGGGTTTATGCACCAAGATCCATTCAACATTTTCTCAATCAAAGAGTTCACTTTTAAACTGTATCTGCCAAAGCCTTTGTCAATTTATTTGTGTATTACCCTAAATCCAAACACCAGTCGTTCCGAAGGCCATTACAAAGTTGTCGATTCCTCAACAATAGATCAGAGAATCAAACAGTTCGAACCACGAGCACCCGCACACCAACAGTATTGCACATCTTTCCTAGGGCCATATATATATATTGCACATTGTGGACAGGGCCTCAGCTAAAACCACTGCTGATCAACTGGCAATGACCATACCTCCAGGTGAAATCCAGATCCGGTCCGACGTCTAAAGCTAAGCAGGGCAGGGCCTGGTTGGCACTGTGATGGGAGACCTCTGGGAACAACAGGTGCCACGGTGGAGCAGCTGTGGCTGTAAAGTGCCAAAACGCCTCTGTATCCTTAAGGAGACAGAGGACTTGAACATGAAATTAAGTCTTTTTGGATTCAGACTGTATATCCCTATTGGCTTTGCACTTATGTATGTATGTGATATGTGTAGATAATCACCCCCATAACGACAAAAGACTAAAATCTTGAGCGTTTTCTTGAGCATTGAGTCTGTATTGAGTCATCCCAGCCCGGCACATTCCTCCGCGGTGCACCTGTGAGACCCAAGCCTTGATACACTTCTTTCTTTCGCGCCCTCTGGGAACATTCCTGCCCCCGTCTCCGTCAGGATTGGGAGGCCTGCCGCGCCGTCACTCATCACCTGCTGATAACTGGCACAAAGGGGCTCTTGGTGGCCCTACGCAGCCGCCCGTCCCTCACCGTCACTGGGGCGAGCGCTAGAGGAAAGTCCCCTGTTCCGTCGGGCCGGTCCCAGCGCCGCCGTGATGAAAAGCCTGTCAGTGCAGATTAGGAAGGAGCCGCGTCGGGGAATAACGCCCGTAAAGGCTGCCGCGCACCTCTGCTGTCCATCCCTCACTCAACCGGCTCGCTCTGTGTCGCTTTAAACCAATTTGGGGATTTTGACGGCCTTTTGATGCTGGTGCGACGAGGCCAAAACAGATGGTGAACTTTTTCAGAAGAGATGGAATGAAATATCCAATTGAAACGCTCCAAATTCCAGTTTGTATTAGTCATGAAAGGCAGGCTCCTACCACTGATGGACTCACTGCTGAACAGAAGTCCAACTAGATAGAAGATAGATGGATGGATGGAGAGATAGATGGATGGATAGACGAATGGATAGATGGATAGATGGACGGAGAGATGGATGAATTGACGGATGGATGGATAACTTTGTTGATCCCTGTGGGAGAAATGCAGTAGAAACACATTCATCCACACAAACAAATATATACAGAATTCTAAAGGTAGCTAACAATAGCGCTAAAGTGCAACAGTGCTGTAGGTCCCAGCAGCAGAGGTGGTGGAGCTGCTTCCTATCCTCTTGATGTCTGCTTGGTGCAGAGCATTAACTCTGCTCTGGTTTAGAGTGAAATTTAAAATGCTTTATTAGCATAAAAAAAGCATTCCTCCACTGGGGTTCTTCTTGATCTGCGTGGTTGGGTCTTAGAATCCTCTCTGCTCTGGCCTGGATCATGGTCATGGATCACCATGAACACTTTACTGCAGTAACATTTACAGATAGATTGTGAAGCACAAAACAACAACAACACAGAACTTTGCAGATTTGAACATGAGTCAATGAGTGCGGTATTTTTACACACTTTGAATCAAGTTGGGTTTGAAGATAGTTAAGTTTAGGGGAAGTCTGATTTTTCAGACAGTCTTCACGCTGGGAGAAGGGGGGGCTACAAAATGTATTTCATGGCAGAGTCAGACGCAGCTGGAGGAAAATGCGTGTGTGTGTGTGTTTACATGTGCGTGTGTCTGTCTCTGTGTGTGCTTATGTATTTCTGTATTCATGAGTGTTTGTGTGTGTGAATATGTAAGTATGTAATCTTTATTTATACACTGCCTTTCACAGACCAGAGTCACAAAGCGGTTTGCAATTGTGGGTATCTGTCTCTCACTCCACACAGAGATGGAGCGGGGCCAGTACAGGAGGCACATGCCAGACCTATTGTACATGTTTTTAGTGGTAGGGGAAACCGGAATACCTGGAGGAAACCTACGCAGACACGGAGGGAACATGGAAACTCCACTCAGAAAGGCCCTGTTCTGACTGGGATTCGAACCCAGGACCTTCTTGATGAGAAGCGAGAGTGCTATCCACTCAGCCACTGTGCTGCCCAATGTGTCTTTGTCTCTGTGTGTTGCGTATGCGTGACTATGTGTTGGGTGTCTGTTAGTGTGTGCGTATGTGTCTGTGCATGTATGTGTCTATCTGCGTGTGTGTGTGCGTGTGTCTGTGTGTGTCTGTGTGTGTATGTTTTGAGGAGTGAGAGACGCACAAAGTTCTGTATGAAAGACATGTGGATTCCAATTTATATTTTCTTCAAACTGAATTCCTTCAAACATGGTCAGAACCCTCACACTTCACATTTCCAGGTTTTCTCTGACCTTTAAAACCAGACTAGCAAAGACACAACCCTCGGTATCTGCTGTGCCTGCTGACCTTCCTGCTGACCTTCCTGATGCCCTCTCTGATGACTCTATCTGCACCATCACATCCATCATGAAGCTCCATCCTGGGCCTGACCTCCTCTCTCCGCAGTCTGGCTCCCGCCTCCTTTCTCTGCCTCTTGGCATCCACAGCAGCATCTCTTTTAAGGCACATGTCAAGGGAACTGTCTACCGCTCTCAAAGGCTTTTGTGTCCGCCCTTTCTTTGCCTTAATTTGGTTTTCCCAAAACACTTTCCCATAGCGTGGCTGTCTCACTGCTTTCTCCTGCTACAGTCTCCTCGTATCACTGCTAGCTCTTTGCTCCTGAGCAGAGTTGAACCTGAGCTTCCAGTTCAGACTGTTACCACCACAGAAAAGGGATTTCCAACTTACAAAGGTCTAAAGATGAACAAGAATCACTCATTCCCTAAATTGAATGAATGATTCTTAATTGTTTTGATCCTTAAGCCACAATATGCAACTTTCTGGAGATGGAAAAATTGCATGATCCAATGTGAGATAAAAGATCAAAAACAAACTCTAGAACGTTCTGTGGAGGTGGATGTTTAAGGGCATATTGTTGCTTAAAGACAAAGAAAAATAATTTCTGAAAACCAAACCCAACCACAAATAAAGCTCACAAAAACATGTTCTACAAGTATTTAGGAAAATGTCTGAAAGATTTGTCCATAACCAATTTTCATCTCTCTCCCTCACTGTCAGTCCTTGTGCTCAGCTCCATTCACGGCCTCTGCTGCTGAGAGAAGGTGTTCTGGAAGAAGATGAGTGGAAATGCAGAAAGCGCATTTCATTACAGAGATTTTCTTAACATCTTTAAAATTCAAAGTGAAAAATTTGCTATTATAACGACGAGTAGAGGAATCATTGCTGGACATTGCGTATCTGGCTCCGCTCTGATCAGCAATATCACACATTATATTTGGCTCAACGCATCATTGGAGCTCGTCCACTGCACAGAACCGGGAGGACCAGACGATGCCCAAATATGGGCGAGTTCCGCTAATCTGTCGGTCCCCGTGCATGTCCCATGAGCACAAGCCATTCATTATAGGGCGCCATCTTGGATCACCGGGGCTTGCATCTTACACAATCACAATCTGGCGCTTGTTGGGTAAATAGATTGTTGGTTCCTGTTTTGTATGATCTGTTCTGTGTCATTTTGAGTGTTACTTCTTGTCCTGTTGATGGCCCTGATGTGCTTCCCCTGTGTCTCTCAGTCTCTCTCTCTGTCCTCAGTCCATTAAGCTTGTTCTCTTGTTCTTGTGTTCTTCATTCAGTTGAGTTTTTTGGATTCTTGTAGTATTTTTCAGTGTTACATTTTGGGTCCTTCCTAATACATTTAGTTTGTCCTCTACAGAATCCTTCCCGTGACTTCAGTGACCGCATAGATCTCCCCGAGGAGGTGTGTGTCACGGAAAAGTTCACCGAAGCAATGTTCATTCTCAAATAAAAGACGGAAGATTACTCTGGATCCTGAATTTGTTTGTATTTATTTATTCATGGAAAAGTCTGTGCTCCGGCAGAGCAGGAGAAAGTTGGCAGCGGCCTGGTTTCATATGCGCTCTCTCTCCTGGCGGTTTGTTCCGTGCGCTGCGTTCGATGTCCTCACCTCAGGCGCAGACATGTGCTTTCAATCCCCTCTCTCTTCAGTCTCTCTATCTTTCCCCCGTCTCCAAAACATCTCTTCATCTGTTCATCAGCTTGACTTCAACCCTCATTCCCATATATTTGACGGCACTTACGTCTGTCATAACACGCTTTCGGAGATTCCCATGCCAACCCAGTTTCAACAAAGTTCCACCTACTTCTTAAACTTTTCCTCTACAGCATTTTGTCATCGTTGGGATTGATTTCCCAAGACGCTTTATCAAAGAACGCCACTCACCTCGGCTCTCAGACCTAAAACCATGTTTGATCACTGCGTGTCTATTTTTGGCAATGTTTTGAACACAAGGCGAACCCTGTCCAAATTGTCTGGAGAGTTTGAAGTTTTCAGATCTGGAGTAGATAAATGTTGTTTTGAGGTACGCACTGGTTCCTGGATTTTACTCCAAGATGTAATTTTACAAGCAGAATTGTTTCCAAGTGGGATGGAGACTCTGAGTGTTTCTGTTCGGGCCCTGTCAAATGTAATGTAACAAATTTATAACTGAAATCAGCTCTCTCATCTGGGTTAACGTTCATTTTCATCAACAGTTTAATGTGATTTCTTTATGGAAAAAACTTGCTGGCCATTATTTGTATTGCACGGTTCGTCCACAAGGTAACTCCCAGTGCTTATAACGAAAACAAAAAATACTCAGGCATCAAAATAATCGTTGTCAGGGTGTATTTTCTTCAATGGAACAATAGAGCGCCAGGTTGTGTGGGCCTTTTGTTTTTCACAGTTGCACAAATATGTTTTATAAGGTTTCTTCTCATTCTCATTCAATTGTGCGGAAGACTCAGGGCGTACGCAGATCACATTGCAATCCTGATTCGATTCGGACTCAGAAAGCCCCTCACCTCGGCTCTCAAACCTCCGATCCTGAGGTTCTTGAGAAGGGATTTGATGTTCTGTAGTGAGTTGAAGGTTCTGATGGGTCGTGGTAGTGAGTTCCAGAGAGTGGGGACGGCTGCGGCGAAGGCTCGGCCCCTCAAGGTTCAGTGTTTGGTCCTGAGGTGTTTCGTGAGGAGGTTGGAGTCTGTGGATCGGAGGCAGCGGCGGGCGGGGCCGGTGATGATGGAGGAGGTCAGTGAGGTAAGAAGGGGCAGGTCCTGGAAGGCCTTGTAGGTGAGGAGTAGAAAGACATTGTATTGGATGCGGTATGGAAAATGGAGCCAGTGGAGTTGTTTGAGGGGGGGGGGGGGGGGGGGGGGTGATGTGGTCTCTGGAAGGCGGGCGGCAGAGTCCTGGATGTATTGTAGTTTTTGGAGATGTGTGGAAGGGAGACGAGTAGAGGCAGCGGATTACAAAGTGCCTGGAAGAGGACTCTGCCAGACAAATAATGTCACACCCTAAAGATCTATGTCCATTTGAGCAGATTTTAGCTGTGATCTGAGTTCCCGACACTGGAGGCCTCTGCACATCCTCCCCACTACAAGAAATATTGCATGACGTCAACGTGAATTTTGAAATAATAAGTGACAAGATCAGTGGAGCTAATACAGACTTTTATGTTTAATCTTTGGGAGTTTGCAGGTTTCTTTGTGCCATGGCCTCAAACCTTGGATCATCTGAAAAACAATGTGAAAAGTCTCTCAGGCGAAGTCCCAGTCTATAAGCAAGATTTACAACACTTTTCTTTTACATACTAGCTGTAACGGGTAAAATGATTTTTAAATGCTCTGTTTGATGATTCAGAGCAAGGGAGAATCCAAGAAAGCCTTTGGAGAATCGCTTTGGAACCATGTGAATGAATGCTCCTCTTTTCCTTTGTATTTTTCATTTTCACCGGCCTTTGATCAAAAGTGTGTTAAATTGTATATATATTTTACATTTCCATACGGCACTTCCATCAAACTTACTATAAATTCCTCAAATCACAAAATCAACAAAGGGATCGAATGACCAAAGAGTGGATCATTCTGGGAAAAGCAACTAGACTCTTTCAAAAGGTTTACTCAATGTTATGGCCTTTTCAAGTCTGTGATGGTTATTGAGAGTGATACAAAGCAAAACGTGAAACGACCGGGTCAGATCCAGTCCCTGCGCTCAACAGAACATGGCAGGGCTTTTCCACAATAGGCACGTCCTGATGGAGCACATTTGCTTGTAGTTGACCTTCACCCTTTTGACCAGGCCCCTTTAGGTGGGTGTGGTGTGTCTGACCCCCGTGTAGCATCTCTGAGCTCTTTAGTGGGAAAGAAATCTGGAGTCTTCCATTGCGCTGTTGTACCTTTGGCCTATGATGCAGACAGCGGGTGTCTTTGCAACCAACCATCAAACTGCTCACAGATGGGACTGTGCTCAGGGATCAGGGCTCTTCCTCTGACGCTGTGATCACATCTGAGCTGCATTACGTCTGGATGAGGTGGACAAATGTATAACGTATAGCCAACGTATACAACAGGAAGTCATCTTCACACAATTCAAGATCATTAATATTTGATGGATAAAAGAACAATAACACAATATTGACTACGAAGACAAAACAAATCTAGCTAATATAAATCACAGTCTTTTATTTTTCTCTTTGTAAAAAACCTGCAGACTGGAGTGACTTTTTGACAACCTTGTGTTATTCAAGACATTCATTGACAATATTAAATCAACATCATCGGGTTTCATCATCATAATTGCTCCTTTGATCCAGGCCCAATTTTAAAAAGTCCATAACGTTTTCAGATAATGTAGAACAATTGAGTTCAAACTTTCATAGTGAATGTCCTGTCTCTGCTAGAACATGTGGCACAGAGTGAAGACGTTTAAACTCTGTCACTAGAATTTTTAGAATTAAAAACTATTTTGTGGTGATGGAGTTGAATTGAAATTGATGAAGCATTGCTGTTTATCTGTATTTTTTTTCTCAATCGTTGACCTACCCTTAAAACAGAAGTACAAATCTCTGGCATTATTAATTACACAAGTTGACAGCCAAAAAATGGTCAGGGGTTTCTCAAATGATTTAGACTAATTTTGGTGTTCTGAGTCCGAATATCACATGCATTTTGCTCTATCAGGTCAACTTTTTGAGATACAGCCATAGTGTTATGGATTACGTACGTCTACGTTTTACGTGTGTGGTGTGTGCGAGAGATTCAATAACAAATCCGTAGCAACGAGGAGATATTTTATTTTAAACAAACTAATCCAGTTAAATCATAGAGGGTACAAATTAAACAAAAAAACATAAACTTGCTACACAACAAGATACTCCCTATTTATAGCCTCCCTGCCCAGACACCCGGGAAACATAACTTAAAGAGGGCACCCAATCACTAAATTTGCGCTGCGACATGCTAAAAAATGGAAAAAAACGTCAAGGGTTTCTCAGCTGATGATCCGCAGAAATTTGTTTTTTACGCAAAATCAATAAAAAAAAAAAAATTCTCTAGCAAAAAATCCTGACCGGATTGAGAAAAACCAAGGTCATTTTCGGACTCAGAGCATCAAAATTAGTCTAATACATCTGGAAAACCCTGGACTATTTTCAAAAAATATTTTTATTTTT